GGAAATACAACTCACAAGAAACGAATTTTGGGAGGCAAAGATATTCTGATGGCATTGAAATATGTTTTCAGCTGAGTTTAAACCCATTGAGAATAAAGTCATAAAAATGTATTCACCTTTATATCAGTATACTAAAAATATCTAATGAGAAATTTAGAGAACACAGAAACTTAAAATATTTTATAGATGTAGTGTCTTTCTTGGAATATAAGACGCACTATTATTTTGAAGTTTGGAAAAAACTACAGGTGTATTTGAAAGATTTTTTGGCACTTTAAGAAATGGGTTCCCAACTAGAGGGTTTCCATCCCAAGGAAGAATCACTCGAAGGTGAATTTCAGAATTTCAAGGGTGAATCTTTTCCATTTTTTTGTTTTTTATTTACAGAATTTGGAGCCCATGACTGTAATCTTCATCAGAATAAAATTGACTTAAATACTCTGAGTTTTTATTGAATATTTTGTTTAAAGAAGTAAACTTCAGTTTATTTATTTTATATTTAGTTTAGAATTAAAACAAATTACTGTACATGTTTTAAAGTTTAAAAATCCATCAACATTTTCTATTACTATTAAATTTATAAAACTTCTCTATAAAAATAACCCATGTAAATGTATATGTACTAATATGAAAAAGAAAGAAAATTTTCAATAATTTATGTATATTATTTGCCCCTTTTGAGTCGGACAATCTTGGAAAGTGGATGATTGATATTATGACTTATGGTTAAAAGGGTGCATTGTGTAAAAAGGTTGAGAACTATTTTAAAAAGTTAGTATATATTGTATTGTCCTAAACACAAAAGTGCTTAAAACAGAAAAATAATAAATACAGTATATAAAAATGGTTTGTTAGATTAGTTCAAAACTTACAAAATCTTGATGGGTTTCACTATCGCTTAAGGAATCATACATTTTATCATCTGATCCAATATTATGATCAAACAGACTGTCCTACTAGGTACTATAAATTGCGTTACTGATACAAGATTTCTTAAATAATTATTCTATGACTTTTTATTTTTTTCCCACAAATTCTTCACCCAATTGATCACTTGAGCAAGTGTTGTTTTTCTACCTTTATTATGTTTTAGTTCTTATGACAAGGCTTTTGCGTTCCAAGAAATAATAACTTAAATATTCTAAACGAGCACATGGAATTCTCTTTGCTTTAAAAATTACTATATTTGTAGAAATGGGAGTTTTGCCACAGATCTCTATTACACATTCGTAGAGTTTATTTTCGAGATTTTACAATGTTGCTTTCGTCACGGAGAAATTCTGATATTACTTGTAATCATAACTTCGGGGTATAAAACACAAGCAGATTTTAACATCAAAAGTTTGGAAAAGTGCGTCTTATACACTGAAAAAAATAAGGTACAAAAGGGAATGATGTCAAATGATGTTGATCGCATGAATTCAATGTAAAACAGCCATTTATTTTGTTCCAACCTAATAAAAAAAAAGCTTAGTTTATCCGTTTTTTTATTTTATAAGCGTATTACAATTTTAAATCCCTTTCAGCCGTTAGAAAATATTCTAAACTTTAGTTTCTTTTAGCATATTTAAAGTTAATCAATAACTATTTCGTGGAATGTGCGAAGAAAACTTCAAAACACCCCGGAAGTTTGTACATCCAATTCATATAATTGTGGACTGGTTAAGCAGAACAAGCAGCGGGGTTTAGTTTTCGAACGGATCATTGATACACAACGCTACACTCCCAAAGCGTCTAAAATTATTAGAATTTTACAAAAACTTCTGTATAATGTGAGTGAGAATAAAATTGAGATAGCATTATTTTTTCATAAACGAGAAAATATTTTTGATGAACTCAATAATGAATTTGATTGTATGTTGAAAGGATCAAGTAAGTTTTATGAACTTGGTTTTATCCCCTCAACACTAAATCGAATTTAGTAATGAGAGCATTATCCTGTCGCAGTAAGATTTATTGGCAGTATGACAATATAAGTTATAAAATAGAAGAGAAAGCTAAAACAAATATTGTTTAGTAGAGATACTGTGCGATAACACATGAAATACTAAATATGCGATCGTTGCAATAATTATTGATGCTTAATAAAAAAAAACAATTGATAGTAATAGTCCAAAATAATCCAAAAGTCTTTAATAATGTCTGTCACAAAGAACAGTTGAAAGTGCTAGGTGACCTTCTCATATTTTGGAAGGTTATTAGAAAAATCCAGAACCTGTACTACATACGGATAGAGAATGAATTCAGTAAATAAAAAAATAGAAAACTTGTAAGACAGGGATGTATCTTCTCACCGGACCTATTCAACCAATTCAATGAGGCGATACTGTGAGAATTAGATGTCCTAATAGGATTCATTATTGGCGTAACATAAGATATGCAGATAACAAACTGTTGAAAGTGAAGAAATCTACAAGAACTTCTACAGAAAGTAGTGAAGGAAAGCGAAAACAAAGGACTAAACATCAATTGCAAAAAGAAAGAATGTCTGGTTGTTGTAAAAATGGACAGGCCAACATACAAATGACAAATTGGAAATACCAAAATCAAATAAAGTACAACAATTTAATTAATTGTTTTAACCGAAGACGGAAAGTGTGACACTAAAATCCGAAGGCGTATTGAGATACTTTGCAAAAATTAAGCAAAGACTTAATAGAAAAAATTTCTTTAGAAACAAAAAAAAAATGAGTACTGAACTGGGGCGTCATAGCAACCACTGAGGAAGTGAATCCTGAAAAATCTCCACACAGATCAAGAAGGAACTTGAAGCAACAAATATGTGGTTCTACAGGAGGATGCTAGGGATACCATGGACCGAACATATGAGCAAGGACAAAGTTTTATAGACAATAAAAACAAAAAAGACAGTTATACATAACATCAGGAAGAGACAGTAGAATTTTCTAAGGCAACTAACGAGGACAGAGAGCTTGGAAAACCTGATACTCATAGGACATACTGAACGTAAGGACAGAGGAAAACAACGTGAAAATTGCCTAACGTTCTTAAGTAAATGGATGGCAGGAAAAAAAGAGAGATAACAAAAAGACTGAATTTATTATAAGCTATAAAGGACAGGAAATTATGGAGAGCCATGATCGCCAACGTTCTGAAGTGATATGGCATATTGAAAAAAATGGAAACACATTCAACAATGATGTAAACAAAAAAACACTGTAAAACCGTAAAGATCAACGTTAAATTTTCAATTTCATTATAAAAAAAAGTCCATATAATAGAATTCTAAACATAGATATAATTGTATTATATGATTAACATCAGAGGTTTGAATTTAATTCAATGTCCACCAGGATATTTTGATGAATGTGTAGCTTATTTGTAGTGACACCAGTATGAGCTGGATTTACTGTATGCTTTATACTCAGTGTCACATCAAAGCATCAAATGAGCTAGGTGTCTCAGAGGGTTGAGTTTGAAGGTGACATCATAATCACCAATTGTTGATTTGAACATCAAATGATGACAGTGACCGAAAGTCAATCTAGCTGAACCTAGGATATATAAACGCAAGACAAACAGATGACAGGAAGTTATATAAATGCCTGACACTGAGAGAATAGGTAGAGTTCCTCAAATCGAATGTTCATGAAAAATCATATACTCCAGGCCGACGTTAATCTGACGGTGAATAAACAATTATGCACAATTATGAAACGCATGTATTCTTATTAGCCCTTACTAACGACGAAGCTGATTTAATTGGATATTTATAATCAGTTTTTAATCATTTCACTCTAAGCAAGGCAACTGGTTACTGAGTATGAGACAAACAGAAAACCATTAAAGAGAGAAAAAAATAAAACAAAGATTAAGGAAACGATTGACATTAAATTTAAATTTTTGAAGATCGAAGTTGATTGAATATATGTTGCCGGAAAAGAGTTGCAAAAGTGAGAAGTACGAAAGAAGAAACTATTAGCACAGAATTTACGGTTACATCTAGTCATAAAAACTGTAAAATAATGAGATCTTGCAGCCAACCTATTACTGCGCTTAAATTAATAAAGTCTAGGTACCATAGAAGAAAATCCATCAGAACAATTACCATGAAAGTATTTACAGAAAAAACATTGCAGATTCTTCTTTGGATTTTATCAAGAATCTGTTCATACATAGAAGTACCAAAGCAACCTGAGCAACGAAACACTCCAAACTTTTATATTTAATATCTTAGGTTGTGTCATAAGTAATTTCCGTTTTTGGAGACGAATTGTAGTGATGAATGTATCATCCTATTTAACTGATTCTTAAATACCCCATAATAGGTGAAGAAAAAATGGTTACATAAAACAATGCTCAAAATAAAGGCAGTGGATCGACGAGGATAAATCTCCATAATGGATTCCAAAACTGAAGACCCATGAACGAAATGAAATGTTGTGCATGTGTCAAGGTTGTCGGGGTATTATTCATTTAATGTTCTTAAAACATATTGCACATTTATACGTTCAGTAGCTGTAGCGTGTACATAAAAGTCTGGGTGAAATACTTCCTGAAATCGTCAATCGGAACAATCTTCTTCCTTTCCATGACAATATAATGTTGCATAGAACAAGAACTGTTCAACCCTACCCACCATAATAATCTGACCTAATTATCTTTTTCAGTCGCTACAAAATGCCTTCATGAAGAAAATATTTTCTAATGAAAATCATATTCAAGTATTTGTGGATTAAATTTAACTTAACATGTGTCGAAGTGTTGTCTGATAAGTGGCAGCAAGTCATTAAAAATAATAGCAATAATTTATAATTGAAATAAAATTCACCTCTTCTTTGACGAATAAAGTTGAGGAACAAAAACGGAAATTATTTATGACTCAACGTAATATTTAAAAAAGTCTAAAAACAAAAAAAACTACGTTGCAAACAGGTTATATATTATTCTTGAAATAGAGTTTTCTCAAAGATAAAAAATAAAAAAGTTGCGGAAAAAGAATAGAGCCAAAAGTCAAAGACAAAAGGGAAAGTACTTACTTCTCCTTGATGGAATTCGTTGAGGCCTGCATCCAATAACGACAAGCCATAAAGAAAACTTCTTCACGTGTTGATATAAAGTAATCATACATGGATTTCTGTAATATATAATATTTGATGAAGTCACAATTTTTAAGTTTTTTTTAATGTTTATTTTAACAAATAGCAAGGTACATTATTCATATTAAATTCGTAATAGACGTCACTAAAAAGTAGCATCACGAAGCATAATAAGAATTGTCATTAAAGGGATGTCGCAATAATCAAGAAGTAGAAAGGTTCACCTATCTTTCGGTTCACACTTCTTACCGATATTTTGAACAGGTGACTGAAACAAGGAATGCTCTATTTATGTTCAGAATAAAGGAACAATAAAAATACAGAGAGACGTGTATCTGTGTTTTATAGACTACGTAAAGGCGTTCGATAAAGTACGTCACAAAGATCTTTTGCAACTCCTCAGCAACCTTAACATATTTGGAAAGGATATTAGAATAATCAAGAACCTATGACAGCAAATGGTTTTCATACAGATAGAAAATGAGTTCAGCAGATATACAAAAATAGAAAAGGGTGTAAAACAAGGACGTGTTTTCTCACCTGACTTATTCAACCTATACTACGAGGCGATTCCCAGAGAACTAGATGTACTACCAGGACTTCATTAACAACATATGTTATGCGGATGATATTGTGCTGATAGCAGACACAGAAAGAAAACTAGAAAAATTATACAGAAGTTCGTGACGGAAAACGAGAAGAAAAAATTAAAAATCAATTTCAAGAAGACGGAATATATGGTTGTTGACAAAAGGATGGCCCTAAACTGCGAATTTCAAATCGCTGGTACCAAAATCAATCAAGTATAGAAAATTAAATACCTGAGAACAGTTTTCATAGAAGACGGTAAGAGGATAGCCAATGAAGCATTCAAAAAGCTAAGAAACAAAGAAAAGAATGCTAAACTGCTATGAGATAGCAGTTTAGTACTCTTTTTACTCCACCTGTATAGCAGTCAATGTTGGACGATCTCCACAAAGTTGAAGACGAGATTTGTAGCAACAGAAATGTGGTTTTACAGAAGAAGGCTGAAGTTAATGTGGACCGAACATGTGAGTAAATTTTGGAGAAAATGGAAACAAAAAGGAAACAAAATACTTAACATCAGGAAGAGATAGTTGATGTTTCTAAAGCATATTATGAGGAAGAAGGGCTTAGAAAACTTGATACTTATGCAACAGATACAAGGCAAGAGAGACAGACATTTAATGAATTTGAGTAAATGAATGGCGGAACATAGCTTGAGAGTAAGAAACACAAAGTTTATTAAAGGCTACAAGGGACCGGAAGTTGTAGAAAGCCATAATCGCCTACGTCTTGAAGGTACACGACACATAAAGAAGAATTCGAGGTTTACCCCTTGTTTCCTGTTTAGGATTGAGTTTCTGGTTCCTTCTAAAGTCTTTTCATTCCTTTTCACTCCCAGTAGCCCACTATCGGCTTGCCTGGGTTGCATTGTTTAAAAAACAAAAGATATCCCATATCAACCAAACAATAGAAACCTGAAAAAGGTCAGGGATTACTTGACCGAAAAGTTGTGTCTATAACAACATCTATAATAATCAAGATGAGAATAACAGTTCGAATAAATTAAAGTATATTAACAATTCCTTATCTCAAAAAAAAAAAAGAAAATAACCAAAGACAGTACGAACTCGCAATGATAACCAAATGCTGAAACTATCTGACATTGAATATAAAAGGCTCCAAAAACACATCAATAAGGACGATGGCAAAATGTGTATAGGCGTTGATTTTGTGTTGATGTGATCTTGAGTTGAATCACTGAACTACAGAATGAATCAATGCACACTGGTCCAGCAGGCTGAGCAAAAACTGATCCCACAATACAAAAAAAAAAACAATTATCAACACTTATTTCATATCAACCAAATAATGGATACCTGAAGATGGCCATACGTTGCTCAATGGAAACTTTATTAATGACATCCATAATAATCAAAACGACAACAATGTTTCGAATAAAATAGACATCACTAAAATTTATATTTGTCGATATGTTTCGAATTTAGAATGGAAATGAATCTGGAATGTACATACAAACAGTACTTACCTCCCTTGAAAATGGCAAAATTAATCAGTATCCATTCATTAAGGGAAAAATCTGTTGTTTCTTTGATACAAGCGTAAATTATTTCAGTGTTCAAAAATATCGCAGCAAAAGAACTATATTTTTCCTGTCATGCAACTAACTTTTCAAGTGAAATACGAACAATTTATTTACTTACTTGAACGCTACGATTAGCATTAAATAACATGATGACTATGAAGGCCAACACTTCTTTGGTTACAGCTTCGTTCCTGCGGGCTGTGAGTGGCAGAGCAGTGATAATGGCACTGTGAGAGTTGATGGCATTCTGAGTCTCTCGAATATTGTCTGTCAACCTGTAAAAGCAAATAGAAAATGGTTAAAATGACAAGGTATTTCACTAGCTGACAAGACTCTTTTCAGTTAGTAGGAGTTGTTTGAATTTGTGTATGCTCACACTGAAAATATAACTCAGACATCACTATTTCTTTGAAACTGTCGTATTCTGCCAGCACTCCAACTTATAAAAAAAAACAACCGGAAGAAACTTCACCTTCCATGACAAGCGACTGATGTAAAATGTGTGATTCAACATATAAAAAGTCCTCAAAATTAGACAAAACAAAACCTCAAGGATCCGGACCAAAATTCTTAAGATCAAAGTGTAATATCTGTTCCAGCAGCAGACAGCCATCCTAGGCTCCAGACATCACCATCAGCTGCAGATCCAGATCGACATCAACTGCCACTTCAGCCAGAGACCTTCAGCTTCAGCTAGCAGACCTTCAGCTCCAGCCAGCAGATCTTCAGCTTCAGCCAGCAGACCTTCAGCTCCAGCCAGTAGATCTTCAGCTTCAGCCAGCAGATCTTCAGCTTCAGCCAGCAGATCTTCAGCTCCAGCCAGCAGATCTTCAGCGTCAGCCAGCAGACCTTCAGCTCCAGTCTTACAATACATATTTATTGCGGCAATTCAACTGGCATATCAATGTTGAAATCTGCTCATCAATACATTCAATTAAGTATTGCATCAAATACATATCGATGGGGTCAGATCAAGCTGTTTTTCACAAACAGTCACTAATTTTTCCCCTTTGATTTTAACTTAAATTGCAGCAAGAGAATGACTCCTATCCAAAATATAGAAGGACAAAACCAGAAGATGGAGGTCACATCGGCAAAATCATTGAGTAATATTGAAATGCATGACGCATTTCAATATTACTCAATGATTTTGCCGATGTGACCTCCACAAATTATAAGACTGATTTAAAATCAATCATCATTTTCCTTACAAAAAATGTGTGACATGCAGCAAGGTGCGAGTAATTCGGATAGTTATATATAAAAATTAAAACAAACATCCGATATTAACTATAAGAATTAAAATAAAAGCTAAGTAATAAGTATAAAATAGAAATTTCGTATTTATTATAAGATATTTTTAAAAAATCTATTATTAATAATAGAATTTAATTATAAATGTTCAAAACAAATAACTGTTATTAATTATAAGAATTAAAATACAAACCTAGAATTAATTTAAAAATGAAAATAAAATTCTGGTATTAATCATAAAAACTGAAATAAAATTCCGTTATTAATTATGAGAATTAAAATGAAATTCCAGTATTAATTACAAAAATTGAAATGAAATTCCAGTATTAATTTAAAAATGGAAAAGGAATTCCTATATTAATAGTAAAAATTAATATAAAATTCCAGTATTAATTATAAAAATGAAATGAAATTCAGATACTACTTATAAAAATAAAAATTTGGTACCAATTATCTCTATCTATAAAAGGCAGGATGTGCGTGTATGTGTGCGTGTGTAACGAATGCACGGCCGCAATTTTCGACGGATTTGCACCAAAATTTACATGCACAACTTAGCGGGAAGGCCAAGACCGACTTTGCATTTCCCAACTCTCATCGATAGTGGAAATAATCGATTTTTTCATGCTTCTGCAGCAGTTTTCATGTAGTATGCGGCCATTTTCTACTGGCCAGAGTGAGAGTCAATAGCTGGCTGCCACGAATAGGCAGGAAGATTCTATTAGCCAGCGTGAGAGCCAACAGCTGACTGACACGATAGCTGCATTCGTCACAAGTGGGAAAAATTTAAATCTGCATGGCACTTTACTCCAATTGGATCATTCGCTTGCTTAAACTCAACGTTGATTCTGATTCCACAGAACTGGGTTGGGTGCGAAAAAGTATTTGTTGTTAACATTCTTTTTTCATTCGGTTTTTTTCCAGTTACGAGTTCTTTTTTAAAGCTGATCGTTTTGTGTTCATTTTGTTTAGTTCTTTTTTCGTAACAGATTTAATGTTTAGTATAGAGCTTAGAAAAAATTTGCAATGTGAGATAGGCAAGAAGTAAGGCATGTAGCAACATCAGCACGGTAAAGAGCACTCCTTTAAAGGCAAGGAAGGGCAAAAATATTTTAAGTCAAGTGATAGCGATTGCTGTATGAGTCGTACGATTTTTTAATCAAGCACGGGAAACGCCGGGCCATGTTGCTAGTAGATTTATATAAAGTCAAGTATTTATTATAAGTTTATGAAAATACGTTATTTCTGTTTCAACCCATTAATGTCCACTGTCTCATTTTTGGGAAGGTGAATATTAATGCGTTAATCTCCTGATGCAAATCGCATATATTTGTATCTTTTAATAAAATTCTTTACGTTTTGCAAAATCTGAACTTGTTCTCCATAATATCATTACATCCTGTGATAGAAAAGTAAGCAGTAATACAGAGAATGAAAACTGCTCAACTCAACCGTTTATTATCCGTCCTACCTGATGACAATGAACATCAAATGTGTCTAGCATTAAAAAATACATTCATAAATTCATACATTTTTAATAATTATTTTTAAGACAATTTAGGCTTTGTTCGTTAAAAAAAAGATTAGGAATAATTGTATATTAATAATGTAATAATTCCGTTTGAGATTAAGATATTATTGCATAAAGTATTTATAGTAAAAAAGAAAATTTCAAATCGACTGACTTTTTTATTTTGGGTGAACTGCTTCGAGTTTCCCAATTTTCGGGTAGTTTTCGTTCTTCATTGACCACCAGAGCTCGCAGGATTTGCAAACATTTTATATCGAGATCTTCACTCGGCTTGTACGTCGTAAGGGCTGAGGACTGATTCTGTAGTTTTCCTGAAATGCTGTTTCGAAATAAAATATATGAATTAAATATTTTATTAATTTTAATGAAACGTTATATCGAACAAATATGAAACTATTTTTAGAATTAATAGTTTATGTTTTTATATTTGTTTAAACAAGGAATATCATAACAAAAGCAGAAAGAATCTCTTCAGTATTAACGATGTATGAGCTTAGCTTACAAAATTATAAAGTTGCAGTAATGAATACAGGAATGGCTTTACAATATTTATTAAGTTTATGACACAAGAACACAAATTGAGGGGCGCTTGATCTGGTGACGAAGGCGTGATACTGTTTCCATGTCTACACAGTTGATATCGACAAACGACTAATGAACGCACTTCCTAGATAAATATGGCAAATTTTAAATAATTCTTATTACTATATATGTTATATTTAGTGGGTACACATGTTTCAGTCGACATCTCTGTTTTTAAAGAATTAAACAGATAACCGAGATCGAAAATTCCTACTAAAGAAAATGTGGAATCGAACCTGCCTTCCACTTGTCCACCAGGAAACCAATATGAAAACAAGTGCGCCTTAGCAATTAAGTTACAAGAAAAGTCATCATGACTATGATTAATTATCCTATTTAAGAAATGAACACATCGCATTGAGACTTTTCCAAGTCTGTGTCCGCTAATTTTATTTCAGGTTTCGCTACGATCTTCAAATTGATCGACATTATAGTTATTATATATATTTATTCTTATATAGATATTCTTTATTATTATATGTTTATTCTTGTTTATACCTACAACGGCTCTATCTCAGATCTTGAGCATTATTACACTATAAAATTATCAAATATAAAATAAAGCGATAAGATGAATGATATTAAATGAGGCATCATCTCGATAACATCAAAATTTAAATGTAAAAACCAACCTTTACTGTATTTTTAATGTTCAATATAAATTGTAAAAGGAATTTGTCCACCCCACTAAATAGTTCCCCCTTTTTATATATCTAAGATATGATTCCATCAATAAACACGTTATTAGTCTGAAGAAGTTTATTGTCAGAACGAAACGTTTCACTAAGAGCTTTTTTTTCATTTTGTCATATATATATATATATATATATATATATATATATATATATATTTGTGCGATGGTTCCCTTGTCGCCATTTTATATGTTAATTTTGCGTACGTGCGTTATTTGTTTTGTTTTTTGGGGTTTTGGGGGTTTTTTTGTTGTTTGGGGGGGTGTCCACTGCGCAGTATAGTTAGTGTCAGTAAGGAACTGTCTGTGAGAAAAAGATCACTCCGCGAGAAATTTGGAAACGGCATGCTGTACTGCTTGGCACTCTCACCAGAAGCTCCAATACGAACATCTCAGAATGTTTGGGTGTCAATCTGACGAGAGTGGAGATGATTCAGAAAGTGTTGGATAAGTTTGATGGTGATTACGAAGGTACAGTAAGTCGGAAAACTCACTCTGATCATTCTGATAAGAAAAGAGCCCCCGAATTTGTTGGTGAGGGCCTCAAACTCAACACGGAGGCCTACATCAAGTGCCTTGAGGAGGCAGTGTTGCCATAGATCAAGAGGGTGTCTTCTGGATGGCTCTATGTCTGGCAAAACAACTTTGCACCATGTCACACAAGCAGGAAAAGGCAGTCATGACCTGTCAGACAATTTCTGCGACCCTTACATCTGAAGACCTAACAAAACAGACTGTAACCCCCTTGATTATTTTGTGTGGAGTGAAATTGTGCGGGAGACCAACAAATCTTTTTATGACACCAAAGATGAACTGAAGGCAAAGATTATGGCAGCATTCATCAACTTAAACAAGGAGACTATGAAGAAGAAATGCAGGAAATTGAAGCCAATGGTGATTTTATTGAATAAATTTATAGATTTGGGTGTAATTTTGGTAAATATATCTGTTAAAATGAGTTGTCAGTATTTTTTAAATTTGCTTAATTTAGATGACAATTCATCCATCGCAATCTGTATATATATATATATATATATATATATATATATATATATATATATATATATATAATCACACAGATCTTTCGTACCAAACCAAATATATGGTCCCGTAAATTGCTTCGGTTTAATGCGCTCAAAGTCAAGAATATTTTGTCAACAGATGGCTCAATATTAAGAAAAACAGCAAAATTTTTAATTGATAGATAAAAGTTAAAGTTTTATTTATCAAATAGATAGATAGATAGATAGATAGATAGATATAAAATTCATATATAAATGAGATATATTTGTAAAAATATAAAATAAAATAAAGACAAAAGCAAAAGTTTTCTTTACCAACGCGATTCGTCCACTGAGAGACGTTATCAAGATAAATGTAAAGATATTATTTTACAACGTATTTATAAACAGAATTAAAATGCAGGGAAAATATCATTTTCCATTTTCAAATTTTTAAATTTAAGAACATTTTAAAACTAAATCTGTAAGTAAATATAAAATATGGATGATGCTAAGTAACGTAATGTACTGCCTAATAAACAAATCATGTCTATAAATTGATGTTGCTGAATAAATATCCTTACATTTATTTTGATAAAGTACCTCAGAGGACGAAACGCGTTGGTAAAGAAAACTTTTCCTTTTCTTTCTCTATCTGTTTATATATATATATATATATATATGGGTGACAGCTCCTTTGGAAAGGACCTGAAAACCAAACCACGGTTGCCCTTGAATTCTCTCACACACACTAAATTATATCATTCTCTCTTACTTTCCTTGTTTGTACCAGTGTTTGGAAGGAAAGTGTGTAGAATGTAGTCGTCTCACCACAACACGGAGATTCCATCAACCATGCCAAAAAAAGTAGTTCCAAGAATGCTTCCATCAATAGAAACAACGCCGGATGAAGTGTATAGTTTCAGAAGGAGACTACTTTGAAGAAGATTAAATGCCGAATTGATGTGTTATAGTTTTCTTTTTATAGCGCCATAGTCCCGATACATTTTGATCAAACCTCGTATACTTACATAAATACATAAATCTTACACAAGCACACACACACATATTGTGTGTGTGTGTGTGTGTGTGTGTGTGTGTGTGTGTGTGTGTGCGTGTGCGGGTGTGTGTATGAAAAAGAGAGTTGTAAATAATTAATTAAATATCTTACGCCAAGAGATCTACGAGTTTCTTGCTAGGTGCATAGCGTGCCGTCATATTTTTTTCTCCGGGAACGATAAAACAGCGGACAAAATTCTGGAACTCTTCACCAAGAGGCAATTCCTCATGACTTCCGAGGACCGTATATTCTAGAGAGAAAAAATAAAAATTCATACAATTTAAGCTTGTTTGTTTATTTGTTTGTGTGTGTCTGTGTGTGTGTCTGTAAACTGGACAAAATTTGAATTGATGTGACATCATTCCCATCTTATCTTTTTGCCTTATATTCACCAATGATCATATATCCACGTACTCTACCTCCTCCTCCTCCTCATATGGGTTCTAACACAACAAAAACACCCAACTTTGTACGAAAGGTACAAGAAAGGATTTATAAGAAACTTACAAAGTCAACGCCATTGCTAAGTCGCCCAATGTTTCAAGGTACTCTATCGGAAAAACTGCATTGTAATGCGGAGAGTTTAATTCATATACCCAAAGACAAAACCTAACCGTCCTATTCCCTGTAATGCACTTGTTGAGCAAGTTGAATCATCTAGAGCTTGAAATGCTTTGGCTTTTATCTAATGAGAAAAAAAATTCGATCATGACCAAAAGATCCACCGAAGTAATGACAGAGGGTTATACAGAGATCCTAAAGATATTCCAACTGCCGTGCGGACAGTATTTGGTAACTGTGATAGTTCTGCGAGTTATAAGAAATGAGGGAGATGTCATACCTCCACTCTTCTTTCCCCCAGGCTTAAGTGGCAATGATGCTGACTATAAAGAGGTGTCCGTGAATGTTGTGAGGCCAAGGATAGAGAGCAGGAGCAAAGGACAACCATACACCTACCACCGAGACTCCGTACCATCTCATAAAGCCATGACCAAAGAATGGATGAGTTACAATCATCATGATCACGTTCCCTCAACCACATGGCTTCCCCGCTCTCCAGATTAGAATCCGTTGGACTACTATGTATTAGTCATAGTGGAGAGGGAAGTCAATAATGCCCTCATAAAACTATAAAATCACTGGTCCACAATAACTAGCACAATCTCCTCTGAAATAGATAAAGGTCGTCTGGTTCAAGTATGCCAACGTTTCAGATCCCGTATTGAAGCTGTCATCGATTATTTTAGACGGCATATTTATTAAGTAGATGCATCAAGAAGAAGCTCAAGATTATTCAGCCATTTTTTTCTCAAGATCTTCTTTCATGAGTTATGCGTCTTTTATTAAATTGAAGCAAATGTCGTCAAAGAACTAAGCAACCCAGTACAATCTTAACAAAATGACACAGAGATGATGACCGGCACATAAATAAAACTACAGGAACTCAGAGAAAAGATAGTAAAGGAATGCGGGAAAAAAAAGACTAAGTATCAATTTTAACACAGATTACAAGCTAAACAGCAAATGTAAAGGCAAACTGTAATTATACAAATTGATGTAAAAATCAAGAACAGAAAGGTAAATATCTGGGAACGACGGAAAATATGTCATCTACATTTGAAGGCGCATTCGAATAGCCTTCCAAAAGCTAAATAAAATATTAAGAAACAAGAACCTTTTTGTTACAAACAAAGAAAAGACTACTGAACTGATATGTAATATCAATAAATTTCTATGGCAGACATGAGGCTGCAAAGATGTGGTTCTACAGAATAATGACTTTTGTAAGATAATTCGATCTTGTCTGGATTTAATATTCTTTCATTCTGCTTTCCCAGTCATTGGTATTTCACGTCTACTGAAGTGGAAACGTATAAAATTCAATATTAGGTCGAAATACAAAACAGAAAACTGCGTGGAGATCCATAGACAACAAAAATCATAGCAACTGATTTTGACATTTTGTCACACATACAAAAAAACAAAAATAAAATATCTGTCACTAATTGTACTGCATTAAAAATCTGCGATTCAAAAAATTCGTACCGTTTTTGCTCTTGTATTTAAGTTGGGCAGCAACAGTGTTATGGCCGCAATACACAGTGCTACAGTGCTTCGCAAACGTGTGGAATTTGGCATTCAATTCAATTTCTGCAGCATAGTATTCCATATTACCCTGTAAAGAATAAAATTACAATAAAAAGGGACTAATATAATTCTTTGCATCAGATTGCGTGCAGATAGATAAATGGAAACAAATAAAAAAAAAATCGACATTGCTTAAAATCGACATTGCTTTAGTACAGACAGTTTCACGCTATAAGTGATTTTCAAAGTATCTGCCTGATGACTACTTAAAGCAGTGTTGATTTCTCTCTGCACTTTTTATGTCTAGATAGATAGATAGATAGATATAATGGACCTTGAGATCACCACTGCATTTAGACAGGAAATTTCACTCCATAAGGGATTTCCAAAGTATCATATGCCTGTAATCTGATGATCCCTTAAAGCAATGTTGATTCTCTCTACATTTTTATCTCTAAAAGCATTACCCTCAATAGTACTCTTCCCATATATATATATATATATATATATATATATATATATATATATATATATGTGTGTGTGTGTGTGTGTGTGTGTGTGTGTGTGTGTGTGTGAGAGAGAGAGAGAGAGAGAGAGAGTAAACACTATATATCAGACACTGGATAACCGAATGACAAAATGGGATATATATATATATATATATATATATATATATATATATATATATATGTGTGTGTGTGTGTGTGTGTGTGTGTGTGTGTGTGTGTGGCGAGAATGGAAGAAAAAATTAAAAGCAAGTTTTTTTTTTGTAAAGAATCTCGCTTGCTTGGTAAAATTTCCTTTACTCTACTTTCCACGACCACAAATTTCATGTAATTTTAATCCATTAATATTTTCTATCTTTATATTGCAAGAGTCCACAATATAACAGAAAAGGCGTTTATAGATATAGACAGTTTGGGTATAGGAATGAACACTGTATGGTAACTGTCACTTTCCTAAATTAATAAGATCGTCAGGACAACGGCCGAAAAATCGTGAATATGACAATAAAGATGAAAACAATATTCCGAACAATGTAACTTGTCTTTGCAGACACTTTTTACACATACATACACATAACTGATAATAAATCGAATTTGTCTTCTTTCTTTTTTCCTTTCGAAATTTAAGTTAGTGATGAGTTGATTTTACCTTTCTCACAGCACATTTGATTCCATCAAATTTGATCTCTGTTGTAAATTTCTCCAACACTCCGATGAGAAGCTGAAAATGAAAAGAAAACAATAAATAAATAAAAGAAAACAAAAGCAAAAAATAAAAAAATGGAGACAAACCTAGCACAATACAACATAAATGTCTTACATTTTAAATTGTTGAGTATTTTTCTACCCCCACCACACACACCACCACCACCAGATCGTAAACGATCATGACTCTTGATCTTTTCACTATTGTCTTTGAATTGCCATGAATTCTTAGGGAATATAGTGGAATGGTTTCCTTGTTGCCTTCTTATTGGTTTTAAATTCTAAAATTGTCATTTTCGTAAACAAGGGACCAGTCTACATTGCTACTTAAAAACTTCCTGGAGAAGAGGAGTTAAATTCATGCGTTTCCTAAGGGTATTAATGTGAAAGTGAACACAATAAACTTGACTATATTAAAGCAAAAAATCTAAATATACAAAGGAACATTTTCTTTGAGAGTGTAGACCTAACTTTAAAAAGTAGAAATCGCCAACTTTAATCAGAATGAGGCAGTGAATGGAAGGGTTCATTTTAAAGGTATATTTTATCTAGAGATCTTTGATAAAATCCAAAGAAGATTCAGCAGTATTATTGATCCTGATCTGGCGTTTCAGCTTCAGTTATTTTCCCACCGCCACAAAGTTGCCTCCCTGTCCCTTGTCTATAAACACTTTTTATGGTAATTGTTCGGAGACATTGCTCTTATTTTGTTCCATTTACTTAGTAATGTTTTCATTTCCTAATTCTTCCGTAACAAGAAACCCCTTGTGTTTTAGTGGCTTTACTGCATTGCTTGGCGGGGGACTCGTTTAAAAAACAAAACAAAAATAAAACATTTTTAATTGCAAATATACCTAATGTAATTTTGGGATGATTCATTACATTTTATAGGTTGTGATTATTGGTTTTTCATTATTATAGCCATTCTTCGCAACTGAAATTGAGCCAACACCAGTGAACTAGATGACATATATATATACACATACATAGCTGTTATTTTTTGTTGTTGTTGCTGGGGCAAGGATCTTGATTAATCCCGCATCTTGGAAAAGATGCTCTTCCCGACACCGAACTCAGACACACACGGTAATCCAAGTACAATGAGTGATGCTATCATGACACTGTTTCTAGCTAGGTTGCTATTCAAAACTTGAGAACCCAATCCTAGCCTTATATATATATATATATATATATATATATATATATATATATATATATATATATATATATATATATAATGAACCTGGAACCTCAATCTCTGTGCTTCATTTTGGTCACGAGGTTAATGTTAAATGTTTTTTCGTGTTGATTGCATCGGTACCCTTTCGTTTACCTTTTTGTTTTATTGAGCAACTTGCCTACTCTATTATATATATATATATATATATATATATATATATGTATGTGTGTGTGTGTGTGTATGTACGTATGTATGTATGTAGACAAATAATCCAAAAGCAAAACTGTACATTTGTTACATTAAGCTTGAACCGGTGTATCTTAGAAATGATTAATAATATCTTACTGGAATTATCCGAGGTTTTTATAACACTATTGAACTCTACTATGAGCAATAAGAATTTATAATTACTCTCCAAGCCTAACACAAGAAACGTGATGAAATCGATCATAAAAGAAAATGATATGCTCATTAATTAATCACACCTAAGAATTGGAATTGAGTTCAAATATAGATATATATTGTTCCAGGATCATTTTCCAACTTAAACAAGACTATTTACATTATTCTATTGTCCTCATCCTTGTCGCCATATTTATTACAACGTTTCGGCCGTTGTACGCTCCGGCCTTCTTCAGGTGATTGGAATGTCGAATTTAACCCTTTATTTCGCTCACTGGGGTAGACTGTTCTAGTTCCACGTTTAATTGATATCAGTTATCAGGTGCCTTCTATTAATTTCCCTCTGAAAGTTCTCCACTGCCTTAACCGAGTATTGAACTCACACTCTTTGGGTCCTGTCACTGGATCTAACCAACGCCTTTATCCACTGAGCTATGTGTCCTTGAGGACATCTGTATATGAACTTTTGGGTATTATAAACCTAATGTCTTCAGCAACCATCTTTACCAGTGCTCATATTGCAATTTTTTGCTGTTATCATTGCATGTTTTTTTACCAGAGCTCTGTGGGCTCAGGTTGTGATCATAGACAAGGAATACCATTGGAAAATTCGTAAATTTAGAGAATTAGCACATATGCTAAGCCACAAAAATCTCCTGAGCTGACCAAGCATAGAAATGAATAAAATATGGGAACCAGTAGTAAGGAGTGCCAGAGAAAAGCGATAATAACACTAAAAGTTGCAATATGAGCTATGGTACAAACATGAAATGATAACAGCAAAAAATTTGCAATTTGAGCACTGGTAAAAATGGTGGCTGAAGACATTAGATTTATAATACGATTCGGTTCTCTTATCAAGATAAGTCTGTCATCTCTGTATAATCCCGTGTCCTTTCTCTCCAGGATTCTGGCCAGATATGAGAGGATGAGTATGCTTACTAATTCGCATAAACTGCTCCATCGTAGCTACCCAATCTTACATCAAACAGGTCGTTTTTACACTTTCTCCCTATATGACATATAACTTTTATTTTTTTGCTTTTTAACTCTTACTTATAAATTTTAAGTATGTTTGGTGTGTATTTAAAGCATACTATATTTGAGTATTTGAAAGTAATATTATAATATCACACAGACTAGTTACACAAAATGGTATACTTGTGAGTCACTGTGTAGGGGGATTGTGGGCGACGCACTCAAGGGACGCGTTGGGCGGCACACACAATGCTACTGAGTGCAGATACTTATGCAGTGTAGTTACCTTAGTAAGGAAAAGATTTAGCAGAATTTCATTTTTAAGAAAAAACATGGAATCGCCTGTGTTCCCTGGGTTGATGCTATGCTTAGTATAATGGATTTGTTCAATCGGTATATTTTTACTATTTTTTTTTATTTGCACAACATGAAAAAAATGATGATGTTCTCTCTGTACAGATTGTAAGCCTTAATATGACCGTTGGTTAATCAGTTCATTGTTATGTATGCAACAAAAGTGACAAAAATTATGTGACAATATTTTCTGTTTGAAGTTTTGAGATTGGGTGTATTATTACTATGTAATGATTCCTTAGGTCTTGACCAAGTTTGAAATTATTCTATTATGATATTCCTAGAGAGGGCGACTCTCGCTCGTAGAACTACCTTCCGATTTCTTCCTTCCTTACCACCTACAGTATTCTAAAATTTAATTGCAGTAGCAAGCACCATATTCTTACTCTAAGTCTTCTCGTTCTCTTTCATTCTCAGTAACCCCTCGAGTCCTAGTGGCATTACCGTTTTGCTTGAGGTGATATGATTAAAAAAAGAAAGACTAAGCCAGTTGAGGCGAATAACACAAAAATTGAAACCTACTTTTAGAAATGTATAACTTCATCTATTTGCCTATTACAGGTACTTAAATTTATATCTTTTACGTCTGTCGTCATTATAAAACTGAGAATTTCAAACGAGAAGGTGTTTTTTCTCACAAGTAATGAAAAAAAGAAAGCACCAATGAGGAACATATTTACTTACTGTCTTTGAAACATTGGAAGCACTAACGACGGCACTCAAGCATGACACCATCGTTTTCATGTGTGTAGGATTAACTAGCATTGGTCCAACGACATCACAAAAAGCCTGGGAGAAAAAAAGTTGAAAGAAAATATTATGTAATATCAACGGCAATAAAGATCATAAATTTTAATTAAATCTTAAGCCCCGTTAATTCCCTCAAAATTACAGAGTGAAAATTAATAGTGTTGGTTTATGTGGGAGAAACAAATATTCACAATTTTTTGTACATTTAAAGTCCAAATTCAAGTTCCACTTAAAAAAATAGTTATGAGCTGGCATCAGTTCAATTCATATATAGAATCATGTATATTGTAATTGGTTATGTATCTGAATTATTATTAGTTTATCAAAATGACTGTCAAACATTTCATGGTCCGCCGGTAAATAGTTTTGTTGGGTTAACGTTCCTTCCTCTTCTTCTGAATAGCGATTGATAGGCACTGCGCTTGGCCGGTCAACTGACACTTAATCATTAGAGCTCCATCTGCACAAAGAAGTTTTGGGTTTAGACGCTCTGATGAGGAGATGCTTTCTTCACAAATGGTTAAAATACATCCTCTTGTTATATGACGTGCCAAGCTTATTGATAAAGAGTAGTTATCATCCACTAGCTTTTGTTTTCAAGGTTGGAGAGAAGTCATATAACATATTTCTACACTTTATTAGCCTGTTACCTTTCAAGAAAATATAACCTTCATATAAGTTCTTCCGACTTCTCCCGACTCGTCTTTATTTCATTATTTTAAAATCTGGAATAAATATCTGTACCGACAGCCAACGTTACTGAGGCTTACCAGATGTATTTGCGAAACACAACAAGAATGAAGAAAATAACTTCATAAACAAAAGACAGGGATTAAAAGATCAAATATAAAAAAGTACTTTCGAAGATTTGTTAAATTCGTAACTTATTAAGATTAGCACTGTCGTATAACGTCAATCCTCTTGTATGGCAGTGAGTTCTGGTTAATCTCCCAAGACAAGAAGAGAAAACTATGTTTCTACAGAAGGGTGATAGGCATACCATGGATAAAGCGCTTAAATGAAGAAGAAGTCTTAAGGAAAAGGCAAACAAAAAAGACACTTCTATCCACAATCAAAAGAGAAAGCTGAAATTTTAGGGATGCATAATGAGAAAGAATGGCTTGGAAAATTTGATACTCATGGGAAATATCGAACGAAAAATGGTTCAGGCGAAGTTAGTGGGTCACCTAATCGATGAGCTTGAATGGATAGTGGAACAAGGGACAAACGTTGATGAGGATTACAGGGGATAGGAAGTTGTAGAGAGCCATGATCATCGATGCCATAAAGAGAAATGGCAAACAGAAGAATTATCAGTACATTGTAGCACTTCAGGGACAAACAGTGAGGAGGAAAGTCACTGATATTGGTCTACTTGAGTAGCTTTGATTCTTTGAATGGAACTTACAAATTTATAAGTCGACCATTCGTCAATGTATTGAATATCGGTGCTTCTATGTATTTAGATATTTTCGATAAAATTCAAAGAATCTATAATGTTATCAGTCCTGATCTGGTTCGTTGGATTCAGTTACTTTCCCACTGCTGTAACCTAGCCTTCCTGTGCCTTTTCTATAAATATTTTCATAGAAATTGTTTTGATGCGCATTCCTCTTTAGTACCACATTTAAGTGCAGTACTAGATTGACAGCTAGATTTCATTTTACAGTTGAAATTTTTAGATGTAACCGCTTCTTTCACTTGTAGAATTCTTTTCCGATTTCTTACTGTTGTGGTACGATCAACCTAATTTACATAGTGGAGTACCGACCATATAAATATGGGTTGGTACCGGGAAGACGATGGAAGAAGAGGAAGTAACAAGAGATCCAATCCAGAGACTCTGCCCGACTGCGATTAAGTCAACCCATGCTACAGGAACAGTTTTCCCAAGAATATACCAAAACTAACTGTAAATATTGTGTACCTTTTCCTTGTTTCAATACATTTTGTTTACGTACATTTTGTGTTGTATTATTATTATTCCATGCTTATCCAAGCTTCAACACTTACTTTCCAGGAAACTTGGATCTTCAAAAACTGAAATGCAATGTCAATCGTTATTTAATTTTAATTCCTGTTCTTTTATTGTTCTTTACCATTAATAATGTATTTTCTTTTTCTCTTATTCTTTCACATTGAGTAACCTCTTGCATCTTAGTGGCTTTATTATCTTACTTCGGGTGAAATTATTAAAAAAAAAGAAACCTACTGAACATTACTGAACAGAGAGATGCATAGGATATCCGACAAAGAATTTTAAGGTTGCAAACAACATTGGGAAACAAATGTAAACAGAAACGGTATTCACGTTACTTACCAAGAGACCATTGGCGACATTATCCGTGTGCGTTATTTCATACGGATAGAGAGTTTTGTCTACTGTGTAGTAGCCAGTGAAGAAGATCTTGAAAATTAAGAAATACATATAAATTTAAAAAAAAAAGATTTTTTGAAACAATATTAAAAGTGAAAGAAACAAAAACTTAAACTGTCGATTTAGAATATCCTGGTATTTTAATGCTAACAATTGCATTAAAATGGTTGGGATACATTCCTAGGCAAATATACGGGCTGTCCATAAACTCTCTTTACTATTTAAAAAAATATATTACAAAGGCAACTGATGAGATATCTTAATCAGATTTGTTCTATGTACTCAATAGACATCAAAGTTTTTAATCACATTGCATTTGAGTATTTCACACATCCTGTTGATGAAAAAGGCATTGTAAAATGAAGCCTTAATATTCCCACACCGGTTGATTGGAAGGGAAGGTCCAATTCCCTGGCCACTACGTTAACAAGATATCACCCCACCCCTTTTGAACTTCTTTCTATGGGGTTATGTTAAAGATGTATACCGAAAAAGGTATGGGTCATCATTGATAATAAGCAAAAGATCACTGATGCCATTGCCACCAACATGGCAAGAAATCGAGTCCATCTTAATGTGCTTCGTGGAATTAATTGTGCCCATATAAAGATATATTAAATTAGTTTTAAAAAAAACTTCAGTATCTACTCCTCATTTTGCAACAATTACCATATATTGGTTCATTTGCTTTTGTAATATTTTTTTTTAATTTGTAAAGAAACTTTATGGACAGCTGTATAGTAAGGAAAGATATTGTATGTGTGAGAGAGAGAAAATCTCAATTTGTATTAACATTTAGAATTATTTTATGGTGATCATCTAAAATGTTAACGAACATTTTAATACACAAGGAGTCCATGATAAATAACACATTTAATTATCGACCAACGAACCAAAATAGATATCTTCATAGTAAGGGATTTGACTTCAAGCAGCCAGCAAAAATAACACCACCCGACCCCCATTACACAATGGCCGGCGATTGTCGCAGGCCCTATTTTTCTGTTCTTTCTTTCCTTGCAAAAATTTATCTCGTATCTAATGTATAACTTATAACGTCTTCTAAAATTGAATTCTAAATATAGATTTATTTAAAAGCAATCATTTTGAAAAGTGCCATTGGACATCTCATTTCTCTGTTTGGCAAAAGGTTGCTCTCATTGATATTCATCAATGTTTCCTGAACGCTTGCGTCGACCAAACAGTGGATGTGAGCACGGTTAGGTGGCCTTTAAAAGGAAGAATAGTATTTTATAGCTGAAATTATCTCGATATAGATAGAAGAGAAGTAGAACAATATGAAGCATCTGATGGTGATTCCCGAAGAGGATATTAGTGTGATTTGATAGCTTAATTATTAATAATCTTTTAAGAGATGAAAACTTCAAAAATAAAGAAATATTACGTACTTGGAAAAAAGGCAAAACTCCTTCAAGGAAATAATAAAGGTTTCCATGCACAGATGCTCTGGTGTCTTGGCCATCAGCAATGGCACTAGAAAGAAAATAACAATTTTGACTTAGGTATTAATATGTTTAGAGAGAAATGGGGTCAAGTAAAATTTTTGCTATTTTTAGCACCAATAGTCATTTTAGAATCCGTCACTTGTCTTCACTTTGTTCTCCATATATTGTTGTGATTAATACTGACCTTCCAGCAATGCGCTGTAGTTTCTGGAATATCCGTTCTTGGCCAAAACATGTCAGTGACAGAAACATAGGCAGTAAATGGATTAGGTTAACTTTTATCCCCATGATTAATATTCAACGCAATGATTTTCTTATAACCTACCAAAATTCTGTAGTATCTTACACCTTTCCTGCCATCTTGCCTCAGCAGGCTTCACATATCCAGATAAGAATCATTATCTTTTCTTCTGGAGTGGCACTTCTTGAAAATTTATAACACATAGTTTTATATATATATATATATATATATATATATATATATATATATATTATACAGATGTTACATACGGACAAACAAGTACTCACGACAAAGATGTCTGGTAACCATCTTTGTTATTCACTTGTCAAGATGCATTCCCATCGAAACAAAAATGCATCTTTACCGTGAGTACTTGTTTGTCTGTATGTAACATCTTTATAATAAATAATTATTTTTCTTCTCTTGGTATTAAGACCTCGTTTAAGTTAATGCTATGAACGTTTTTATAGTCTTTTCGTTCTCCTTACATTTGAATATATATATATATATATATATATATATATATATATATATATATACGCAATGCAAAGTTCAGTTACTCTCATGAAGGAAAGCACATCTCACGTTAAGTTCTGTGGAAGCTCATGTCTGAAAACTTCATTTCGTATCCGAAACTTAAGCTAATTTCTAAGGAATTAATCGATTTTTATTTATAATCTGAAATTGTTTCATATTACTATACTCGTTATATGTGTTTGAGAGTAAGCATCTGTTTTTATTTTTAACAGTACCATTGTCGTCTACTAGCCTAGATTTTCGAGAGTCTTTAATAAAGGATATGTCCTCTTTGGCAAAATCCTAAATGACCCCTCGTTATCTAGAGGAAAAAGCACCCTGGGACTCACAGTGGTTTCCCAGACTCCAGTAGCAAGAAATTATTGTTTGATTGATTTTCTGGGTTATCTAAAGCCGAAAGAGATATATTTGGTATTCTAAGTTCCATTTATGTATTTATTTTGCAAAGTAATAATGCATTAACAATTTTATAAAGAATAGCAATGATTTTTCCGGACACAAGTCGTATTTAACCTATAACCGTAAGAGGAGATGGATTCATACCTTTCTCAAGAGTATTTGTGTGTTAGCGAATGTAATGAACTCGACTGGAATTCGAAATCTATTCTCTTCTTTCTCATAACCAAGCCGCTATTCAATACAGCACAGCGTAAAGTTACATTCGATCTTGCAATGAGTGATTGATAAGGTCCCCCATCTCTCGTATTTATAAAGAGCCAGTATATCTCTACTGAATTAAGAGACCGTTTAGTAGTTACATATTTAACCGGACAAGAATCACCCCTAGCTGTTCCATGTCTGTGTTCTGCTATTTATTACTGGGAAGTCTTTCTTACTTACCTTAATGGAGGTGGTGACTTGAGTAGGTCAGCGGCCCTGTCCAAGTGACGATTCACAGCATCAGTCAGATTGTTGATATCATTGACAGCATTGGCAATAAATTCCCACACATTTCTGTTAAAAATATTAACTTTTATTTAAATAAGATTGATACTTATTATTTCAAATCATAAAGTACAAATGATTTTCTTTAACTATAGTTGTGTCTTCATCGATAAAGAACTTGTTACTCAAGTTTCATCATGTCGGGCACCCTACTGACCTGACGTGCAAGGGCAACACCTCATATATATATATATATATATATATATATATATATATATGTGTGTGTGTGTGTGTGTGTGTGTAAAATGTGTATGTCTATAAATATAAATATATAGATGGAATTTTTATATATATTATTTATATATTATATATGCAAAGGGTACTTATTGAAAAGCGCTCATTATCAGTGATAGAGCTAACATATTTAGTTGGATTGATGTGAGTTTGTGACCCCGCTATTTGCGATCGTCAGAGACAAACGCTATATATATATATATATATATATATATATATATATATATATATATATGCCGAAGTCTTTCACTCCAAAGCACACACCAAATATACTCCAACCAACATGCGTTCTGATGCAACCAACTCCCACAAGACCAACAAGAAATATGATACATAAACATCTAAGTAAGTCAGTATCTAACTAACATCTTCTGAATCTAAACACCCAGACACTACCAGACTAATACAGAAACAGCTACAAGAATCCAGACGTACATCCACTAACACCCCAAACAAAACACATGTGGTTTACCCGAATAATGAAAAACAAACTACACAGAACTCAAGATAACGGAATTTTCTCTTCCATATCGCATCCCTCCAAAAAACATTCTGATGAAGATTAAAGGCGAAACATGTTATATTTATAAACTTTCCTATTTGTCCCTTCTCTATTATATATATATATATATATATATATATATATATATATATATATATATATATATATATATATATAGAGAGAGAGAGAGAGAGAGAGAGAGAGAACAGATTTTATTTTATCAAAAATAAACGGTTGACTCAAGTAAATTTAAAAGATTATGTTTTCAAGTGGAGCAAATTTTGAAAATATAGTGTTTGATATTAAGAGATAGACCATTAATGTTAATAACAGAACAAATCTATTTACTTATTTTATTAATGACTCGACACTGAGTTTTACGGTATCCCAACTACTCTTCAAGAAACTTGAAATTGTGATTATGATACATTATATATATGATAAAATTATAGTTTTAAAGTATTATATATTTATGGGTAAAAATCTCAATATCAAGTAAAGAGCGTATGTATATATAAAAGCGAACACAAATCAACACCAAGAGACGACTCTCATGGGGTTTCATAAATCATAAGTAAAAGGAATCTGTGGAGAGTCATGATCGCCCATGTTCTGAATAGATATGGCATTAAAAATATATTGTATTCAATCCAAGCTTTGTCCGAATAGCACCCAGCCATTTTGAATATCTCTAGAATCGGTCGTGCAGTATTGGTGTAACTAGGTAAGTAACAAAATGGAACTTTACTGCATATACGTAAACATATAATCCCACGTTGCCTTACTCGGTAGACAGCATGATGCCACGGAGTGAATTTTGGCAGTGTGTAACAGATGGATTTACAGTAAATACATCAGGTTTTCCTTGAAACTTGGAGAATTCTCCATGAGAATTGTTCGAATGATTAAGAAGAATTTCAGAAATGATTAAATGAGAGACTCAGATAGAATCTTGATACTGACGTTTCCTGTTTTGCTGGAGAATATGGTGAAAGTGAACAACGTTCTATAAGTTCTTTAAAAAAGTAAAACCCTAGTAAATGTTGAACGCTTGCATATTGCAGTCAAAGGAAGTCGATGATTGAGAGCGTGGTGATATGATTATCTCGGAATTATGGGTACGGTCCAGAAAATAACTATCCATTTTGAATCTCGCTAATGTTTCAGTGTGACGTTCTTCTCTTCTTCTGTGTGTCCTGTCTCTTCAGAACGTTAGTGGTCATGGCTCCCCACAATTTACTGCAATTTGTAGCTGTTAATAAATTTTGTACTTTTGTTATCTCTTCTAAATCCTATTCTGCCATCCATTTACACAAACACGCTAGGTAAGTTACGCGTTGATTTCTTCTGTCACACTTGCCTTCAATATGCCCTGTGAGTATTAAATTTCCAAGTCCTATTTCCTCATTATGCACTCTAGAAATTTCAACTCTCTCTTTTCGATGTTAAGTATGTGTCCTTTTTGTTTCCATTTATTCTACAATTTCATTGTTGCTCACACGATCGCTCCATGGTATTCTCGACATCTTTCTGTAAAACCACATTTCTGTTGCTTCACGTCTTTTTTCATCTGTAAGGAGATTGTTCAGCATTCACTATCACTAAGGACAATTGATCAATTCCGTACGCTTTTCTTTGTTTCTAACGAAAATTTCCCGGTTTCTTTATATTTTGCTTAGATTTTGGAAGGCACCATTCACCATCCCAAATGCGTCTTCAGATTTCAGTGTCGCTTTTGCCATCATTTTTAAAGCACTTCGCAGATATTTACGCTTTTGTACTTGTTTGATTTTGGCATTTCTAATTTATAATTTGCATGTTGGGCTGTTTCCTTTGCTGTCTTCTTGCATTTGATGTTTAATCCTTTCTCACAAGTGAATGGCTTATGAAAATGTTAAGATTGGCGTTGTTGCAATGTTAAAATCGATGTTGAAAGGAAATGAACTTCAAACCGTTGGTGAGATGAAGGAAAATGAGACGATACGGCCGATGGCAATCCTAAAGAGACTGTTTTGAAAGGAAAGATAGGTGAATTCTTGTATTTTTAAAGAGAGTATTTTAAATTGGATTAAGGTGCTACTGTGTAGGCAACGTTTTCGTTAATACTGACAGAATCATTTTCAGACAGACATTGTGTATAAAATTAAATAAACTTCCTGGTGGTTATTTTTTCGATAGCCTTTAATAGTTTTAATTAAATGCAAACAAAAATGCGGGAAGAGAATCTTGACAACAAAAAACATTCGATACTAAAAAAAAAAAATAGCGAATAACAAACCACTGAATTAAAAAAAATCATTCTTCTTAAAAACCAAATGAAACGCTTCTTTGATTCACGCATTGTATTAAGCTAAAAACAATGAAACATACTTGTCATGCTGTAAATCAGAACTCATTGTCTCAGCACCATCTTCACCAAGGCTTACGTAGACACCGAAGAGAAACTTTAGAAAAGGTGTTTTCACATTACTGTAAATATCTCGGTTGTTCAGGATCCATATCAGCTCCTCGATAGGAAGGATAGTTTGACACAACGAATCTATAAATTTATTTTCTCCCTGTTAAAAGAAAAACAATAGAAATCTGTAAGACAGGGAGAAAGAAAGAAATCAATTAATTATTATCAGACAGAAGTATACCGAAATGATGTTATTAAAAAGCATGTAGGGAAGTAAAATTTCAATATTTGCCTATATCATCTTCAAAACCTTAAAGAAAAAGCACGTTAAGAGTGAAGGAAAATGTTCAATACCCACAAAATCTTTCCAAATAATAGACGAGTCAGAATTCGAATGATTGCAAAAATCGCCTTCATCTATAAAGAGCCGTTAGGTAAAGTTCCATGTTTATCTATGACACCAGCTTGATCTTCAAAATGTATCTTATGTGCAAGGGAAACAACTCATAGCAACACTTTGTCTATATTAGATACCTCCACGAAAACACTAAAAAATCGGCATACCGTGATGAAAACATACTTCAAACGTAATGAAAATATAGATTATAGTCAAAATTGTTGTTATTATTAAGAGGAAGATTAAAGTATTTTTTGATTATTTAATTAAATTTTTTACTACTTTTTAGAAATTTTGAATAAAAATCTGGTTTTTCTTGCGTCAGCGGTTTTATTAGAATAGCAAATGTTGGCATCTGTTTTGCGGTGACATATGCATTAATTTAGAAACTCTTGCAAAAATCAAATAATTGTCGGATTTTAATGAAATTTTCAGAACTTATTCATAATTGAATGAAACTATTTTTGAAATTCTTTATTAGAAAATCTTGTTAAAAATACCCTTACTTAATTTTATGAAAACTTGAGAAATTAATCGAGATAACTTTTAGTGACCATATTAGTTAAAAACAGAATTCTTTGACGAATTTATATCACCGATTTTTTTTTTTTGCAAAATCAGACCCAGTCTTTCCGAAAATGTGTTCTGAATCGAAAAATTAAAAAAAAAATGCAATAAAACCAAGGGAAGATTTTAATCGCATTTATGAATAATATATAATAAAGACGAAAAATTAATTTTTACAAGATTTGTTTTCATTTTCCACAATTTTAAATTAAATAATTTATAAAAAAATTAAATCTTTTAAAATTCATTTTCAATGAGATAATTCTTAGGAAATATAGTTATTAAGTAAAACTATACTAATCATATATTGTAAAGCCTATTACAATCTGACGAAACCGAATATTGTTAAAAGAATTTCGATTTGTTTTTTTATGATTTAGTGAAGAATTTCTGAGGTATGGATGTACAAATCGATAAATCTAACATTGTAAGGTCATTAGTTTTAAGAGTTGTCCCCCATTACGGCGAAAAAAAAACTTTATTGTATGTTCACCATACTTAAATATGAACACGTTCGGCTGTCAATCGTATGTAAATAAATCTATTAACACGTCAGAAAAAGAAGATTCCGTGGTTAAGAAATGTTTGTATACTTGATTTTAAGCTATAAGTAAGTAATATTTGTTTCAAATCAGATTAATGTAACTTTCCAAAATCGGCTGTTTTTCTTGAATAGCCGCTTTGAGATTGGTGAGTTGACACAACGACTGGAAGAAGCTCAAGTGAATTATTCCTCTGCAATCCCACCAAGAGGACATCTGCAATCCCACCAAGAGGACATCTGCAATTCCACCAAGAGAACATCTGCAATTCCACCAAGAGAACATCAACACCATCATTTAATTATGGGTTCTGAACATTCACAAACTTGTTTCCAGCTCCGTTTGCATCGAACCTAATCATAAATGATCCATTCCTCAACGCTTCTGACAGTTGTTATTTTGCTAAAAAGAACTTTTGACCAGTGTAATTCTAGGAGATTATGTTTTTAAGTAATTTTGTGATGGGTATGGAGTAGTCATTAATAATAATTAAAATAAATTTATTCACTAAATTTATTGATGTTTACACTGAATTTCGGGGTATCACTACCACTCTTTAAGAAAACTAATGTTATATTAGTTATCAAGTCTCCTGAGGAACGGATGCGATTCCTCAACGCTCAGTCGAGATATCCACATGATCAGTGAATAACATTTGGTTTATATATATATATATATATATATATATATATATATATATATATATATATATATATATATATATATATATATATTTATATATAGATAGATAGATAGATAGATAGATAGATAGATAGATAGATAGATAGATAATAATGGATTCTTATTACTTTTTGGCGATTTAGTAATTAAGAAGTAAGAAATGATTCCCTTTCGATCACGGTCATTGCATAAAATATATTGGCCCCATAAGACCCATCAATTTAGTTTTTACGTCATTATGCAAAAGCGAACAGATAAACAAACTATGATCAGTTTAAAATTAAGTGTCAATGTCAGCACATCGTTCCTCGGACACATATTTACACTTGATAATACCATGTTTCCTACCAAAGAATCTGTAAGTCAATTACAAACAAAAATTTTGTATCACCAATATATTTTGGTTCTTATTGTGTGATATATTCATTTAATACTGGCGTTAATGATTTAATATATTTATTACATCGCTATCACTATCAATATTCAAAATAATACTTAGAAAAAAGCTACTACCAACCAGAGGCAGTAGCTTTCTTCTAAGTAATATTTTATAAATAATAAACTGTAATAAACTGTAATAAACTTGAAAATCAGTATAAAAGTTTCCAACGCTCTTTTACGAAAGCTAGAAACTGCATAAGCAATTGCAAAATGGTATACCAAATTTAGTACACACATAGTTCTAAAGAGCTTTTTTTACACATATCACCCCAGGCAAGGCGGGAGTGCCACTATCACGCAAAGAGAGTGAGAGAAGGAGTAAAAAGGGTTTTTGAAGAAAGGACACAGAGAAGGACGGAGATCAGGATCAAGACAACTGAAGACGTCTATCGACATTACATTTGAATATTTGAAGGTTATATCTATCAGGGAAGCAAGTAAGAGCGGAGGAGTTCCGCAGACGGGAAGTGTGAGATAAGAAGCTGTTGAAGTAGAGATGGCTACATTTAGCCGTTTCGACAATGAAAGGGTGGGACCGAGATGTCAACCTAGTAGCACACTTAAATTCATGCAGTTTGGGAACCAGTGAAAGTAGCTCGTCGGAGCAATTGCAGAAAGTCATAGGGAAGACACAGTACGTCTGTGAGAGAGTGACTGTAGACGAGATGCCAGATTAAAACCTATCACATTGCATATCCGCCTCTGGATTTTGTCGAGGACCTCGAGATGAACACTGGGGGCAGTAGTATTTAATGCAAGGACGAAAGGTTGATTTGCAAATTTGAAGGATAGACTCAGGCGAGAAAAATCTTCTGACACAGAGAACCAACTTCCCTTGAGATAGATGATGCTATTTATTCAATGTAGTTGTTCCACCTCAAGTCAGTGGAAAGCAGGCAGGGGGAGGCGCTCTCGTGGAGTTGGGCATCAGCTAGTGTAATGGGAGATAGGGTGGGTTCTCTATGGTGGTTTCGTTTTGAAGGAATTAAAGTTTACAAGGCATTTCCTGCTCCGGTCAACCACAGATTGGAGGTACTTTTCGAGACCAACAACCAGGTTAGTTTTGACAGCGATGTTAGAGTTATTCCTGAGGCAGGAGCAAATTGTAGTGTCGTCTGCGTAGATGCCTACTTGGGAACTGATGACATCAGGAAGATCATTGATGAAGATCAGCAACATTGTAGGACACAGGATAGAGCCCTGGGGACTACAAGCGTTTGTATGAAAGGAACCGGAGGGGAATCCGTTTACGACGACCTTCATTTCACGGTTTGACAGTAATGATGAGTATTAAGTCAAATAATCATCCTGCAATGCCGTATCCTTGAAGCTTACGAAGAAGGCCGTCATGTCAAATTTTCCTATTTCTTTCTTTTCTTTTTTTTTTTTAATCCGACATATTTTCATTACTTCAAACATCATTTTTCGTGAATACCTGTATTTAAGTAAAGGATATTAAACAGTATCTATTTCGTCTACACTCTCGAAAAAAGATATTTTTAAAAATGTACATCCGGCAGGATATTCCTTTCCTGGTATATGTAGACCGGTAGAGGAAATGGACACTGTTTAAAATATGCAGAGCATCTACTCATATTCATTAATATATTCACTAAAAATAACGTTTAAGTAACACTTAGATAAAAACTGTTATCGATCACAATTTTAAAAGATTAATAAAATTTCTGGAAAAAAATATGAAAATCAAACAGCAATCAAGTACATTCTTGGTTGATTAAATATTAATTACTGTAAGTCTGTTGTTCAGAGTTACTTTCCTCTTCAACACAAAAGCAAACTCAGAGATTGCTAGGATCGATCAACTTAGACAGAGATAGAGAGAGAGAGGGGGGGAGAGAAAGAGAGAGAGAGAGATGAGCAAACAAAACAGCCGAATTAATCTCTCTTCAATCATTTCAACATGATTACAATCTGAGTAAACAAGAAAACAAAACGATATACGAGCTATTGATTGTACCATTGATAAACTGGCTACTCTTATTAATAGAATCATACATTGTAAATACTACATTGTATAGTTAATTATATAAAGAACAATGATTTATTTTTGAGTTGCTTTTCTTTTATCATATTCCTCTTGTTCGAATGTTCTGAAAATCAAATGTATATTTTTGTTATTATAATTATTTTTATGCGATTTCTGTTGCTTTTTATAGCAACTACCACATCGTTATTTTACGATTCTAACTTTGTTGATCGGAAATAAATATTCAGTCACCAGCGATATTTGAATATGTACCTTTTGTCTTTGTTCAAATCTTAACAAGAGGTTCTTTTCTCTTTCTGGTCCATGCTATTTTTTTTCTTTTCTTTTTTAATCAGTTCCCTATATGCAAGGTAATAAGGCCACCAAGACACAATGGATTATAGGGCGTGGAAGAATTAAGAAATGAAACATTAATAAGGAGCGGGAAGTTGAAAGAGTAATCAGGAGTACAGTAGATGGCGATTGACATTGCACTTAAAATTTTGAAAATCAAAGTTTGCTGGAAAGCATGGAGCCGAAAAGGGAGTTCTACAAGCGAAAAATGAGAGAAAAGAAATTGTTAGCAGAGAATTTACAGTTACATCTTGCCAGCTCAACTCTAAATTTATGAAATATCGACGCCAGTATGGTACAGCACATAAATTTAAAATGTCTATGTACCATAGTAAATACTTACGTAATAGTCGTAGAATACCGGAGTTGGCATAAAAAGCAAAGAGCAATAATAAAATCAGACAGACTCGTAATAAATAAATAATGCAGTATCTGTCTATATACCTGGGATGAGGTATTGTGTACACTATTTACATTATTCGGAATATTGTCCTCATCTGTGTTACCATATTTATCAAAAAGTTTCGACCGTTGTACGCTCTGGCCTTCATCCGGTGGTTAGAATGTCAAAATGAACCCTTTATTTCGCTCTCTGGGGTAGACTGTTCTAGTTCCACGTGCCATGTCTAATGGATGTCAGTTATCAGTTATCTCCTGTTAATTCCCCTCTCCAAGTTTTCCACCGCCTTAACCAAGTATTAAACTCACATTCTTTGGGCCCTGTCACTGGATCTAACTAAAGGCGTTAGAACAGTCTACCCAGGCGAGCGACATAAAGGGTTCAGTTCGACATTCCGGCCACCTGAAGAAACATTGTGATAAATATGGCAACAAAGATGAGGAAAATTGTCCGAATAATGTAAATAGTGTAAATAAATTATGTTTTTATTTCGGAAACTCTGGTAAATTAAAACTGATACACTGCTTCTATAATTTAGATATCAAAACTATGACAGGCTATCAAACAATAAATAAGACTTTTCATAATTATTCTTACTGATCCACGTGCCATGTCTAATCAGTTATCTCCTGTTAATTCCCCTCTCCAAGTTTTCCACCGCCTTAACCAAGTATTAAACTCACATTCTTTGGGCCCTGTCTCTTCATTTAAAGTTTTAATTTGGTTCCTCAAAGGGCAATAGTCTAAGCTTTATATGAAATTAATAGCGAGCTATTTTGGCTTTATCTTGTTAACATTAGTTCGAAACAAACATGCAAGATGGAGCGTTGCTGCTCTTAGAAAACTGACCTCAGCACATGTTGCAAGTAAGTCAACGAGACAAACTAAATATGTCAGTTGACCTCGATCCGTTTGGTTGGTTAAAATACGCTCCCTGCAAGAAATATAGATAAACAGATAAATATATTGATAAATATGTAATTTTGTCATTTGTAATTTTGCATAATGTGAACATGCAACAAAAAAATTATTTATTGGACAAAATGCTTGGTTGGGTATAAAACGAAAGAAAAAACACTAAAACAGTATAAAGACATATTAATTTAAATTCTTTGTTTAAACATTTCACCCCAATCAAGGTAATAAAGACACTAAGGCGCATGGGGTTACTGAGTGTAGATAATATGAGGAGAAAAACACTATTAAAGTGACAGAGGGGACAATAAAAGAATTAAGAAGACGGTGGATAGCGATTGACACTGCATTTAATTTTTTAAGATCAAGGAAAAGAGGAACTCAGAAGAGTGTTCCACAATGAGAGGTGCGGTAAAAAATTGTTAGCATAGAACTTACGGATACATCTAGCCATTTTAGCTTTAAAATGATGAGACCTTTCCGCTAATCTAGTATTGCGCTTAAATTCACAAAGCCTAGGTACCATAGAGGAAATTTCATTTGAACAATTACCATGAAAGTATTCATAGAAAAGGTACAATGAAGCTGTATTACTGTTTATATGAATTTATTTACATGCATTTATATTTCTTTATATAAATGTACCTCTTTTATGCATGACTGATGCTTCTGTAATAATTTTCCATTGAGAAAAAAGTATTAAAAATATATTTATGTCACCAACATTTTATTGGTTGGATCATTTCAGTTTTTACGAATTCGCTGTTGATTCACAATTAAAATCATTTGTGTCACTCAATAAATTATTATTTTGAAATTAGTTCTATTTAATTCTCAGCTATTTCTCCGGTAATAATTTGTTGATTGAAAGATCGATCAATAAATAAAATATTTAAAAAAAATAAGATTAACATCAGTACATTGAAAATTAATTTGAAATTGATTCATTTAGCTTTCAGCTGTCTGGTCGAAAATAAATATATTGATTGGTAGATAGATAACATTAGAAAAATATTATTAAAATGATTTGTATCATTCGTTAAAAATTATTTTGAAATCAGAACCTGTTAATTATCAACTCTCTCATCGAAAATAAATATATCGATATCGATGAAAAGATGACATTAAAAAATACGATTTAAATAATTTGCATCACTCGTTGAAAATGATTTTGAAATTGATCCCATTTAGTTTTCAGTTATTTTGTCGAAAACAATTTATCAATTGGGATATTTATCAATAAACAAATTATTCGATGACTTCAGATAAAACATGTATTAAATAAAGACATGTCCGAGTAAACTGGGCAGCTATCTAGACAAGAATAGAAAAGAATTCTTACTTCATTTCTTTCGATTGGTCCAGCACATAAGCAGCTTTCTTGAAATTTTGCATTATATATTTCATAACAAGGGTTTGGTTTCGTTTCAATGTTAAGTCCAGCCCATGGACTTTGACCAAAACCTTCAAAAGATCAAGAAATTCTGGCGCCTTTTCCTGGTGCTCAGCGGCGAGCAGCACTATCTTTTGGATCTGCCTTGAGTACACCTTCAAACAAGTGACTTGATTTGCAACAAATACCTAAAAGAAAAAGAGTTTATAGGATAATCAGATTATACATATATACATATACACACACATATATATATATATATATATATATATATATATATATATATAAAGAAAAAAAGGAAAACTTAGTTAGCCGACGCATTTCATCCTATGATGGGCTTCATCAAGGCAAATGTAATAATTTTATGTTAAAACAAGCATTTATATACAGAAGTAAAAATGTCGTTAGTTTTTTTTAGAATTTTTAAATTTAAGAAAATGGTTAGAAAGTGCTTTAATCGCTAGATTATCCACAGTAAATTTGCGGTCATGTTCCTAAAGCACGTCACCTTCCTTGTCAGATCACAATGTGGCATATTTAAAAACAAAAGTAATGTAAAAATAAAAAATAAACTAAATTAAATTGGCTAGACAATATGCCCAAAACATACATTTAAAAAAATGAATTTTAAATTTTAAATTCTCAGCTCCCCTTCCCCTCATGTGCATGTGTTGTTGCATTAAAGTAAATATCACTTCAGTCATTTGAAGTCCTAAACGACGAAAATATATCACACAAAAAACCTTTTCCACTTTGTCATAGTTTTTTCCAATATATATATATATATATATATATATATATATATATATTTTAGTAGATGTTTCTCTCAGTAGAAAAAAAGCAACAGAGCATCTACTCAAATATGGACATTCACTAAAAATAACATTTAAGCAATAGATTAAAAATGTCGGATTAATAAATGAAAAATCCATCCCTGAACACACACACACACACACACACACACATGTGATATTTGTAAAATAAAACATTTATAGAAATACAAAAGAGCTATTTTACAAAGCAATGAACTCGATGAATTAGTCATTCATTGTAAGTCGGAACATAATTAAAATTCCAGGAATGCAGTTTTAATTAATAAAAAAGTTATTCTATAATTAAAAGATAAAATAATTCATTAAAGTGAAAACGTACTGAAAGTGTACTAATTTCAAAATTTTTCCCGATAAATATATGCCCAGGATCATACAATATGTCTGCTTTCTAACAAAAAAAAAAATCAAAAGCAATATAGAACTAAATGATGCCGGATCTATGCCAAATTTTTTTTCAAAATAGATTTAAACCTAATTACACCTGTATCTCTAGCATTTGTTGTTATATAAGTGAAACCGAGGTTCATTATATTTCGTCTTTCCTTTTCATATATAAGATTCCATTAATAAAACCCTTTTTAGAGAGAAGTTTCAAAAGAGGAAACGCATAAAGCAGGCATTTTTCCATATTGCCATTCAATTATCTACTATTAGTCTGATATGTAGAGGTGTACATCTTCCAGTGATATTTATGCACATCGAGATATTTACATATATAAAAGTAAACAAATTTGTAATTCTAGAAGTTAACTATATTTCTGAGATGACATATTGATACTAGTTACACTATTTCCATCGTTCGGACTGTTGTCCTCATCCTTTATTGCCATATACACGACGTTTCGGCCGTTGTGCGCCCCGGCTTTCATCAAATGATATAGGTGAAGAAGGTCGGAGTGTACAACGGCCGAAACATCATGAATATAGCAATAAAAACGAGGATCCACAGTCCGAACGATATAAATAGTGTAAATAGAAGTTAATTCATTTAGTAGTTAATAGTAGTTCTAGAGAGTAATTACCACTGAATATTATATTTCCGAAGTTAAGTGCCTAAATATTACGTCCACGTGAGCAGTTTACCTAAAAGCTACAATCTTATTTGTTCATCACTAACGATGTCCCTGCCATGCAAAAATAAGTAAACATAAAAAATCTCAATTTAATGAAGGTTAGATATTCGATCAATTTGAAGTAATTACAGGTTTTGTACATAATATTTTGAAAGGTTTCACTGATAGAGATTCACATGAAAGACTTACCTCTTTTAATGCCAAGGCTAAATCAGATTCAACGCCTTTCACATCAAGCAAAGTATCAAGTTTCTCAAATATGATACTTTGAACTTTATTATTTTCTCTAAGCAGCAGTCTCAATAAAAACAGTGTCTTTTGCAAGATTGTTTTCACGTCTTTGTACTGATCCTGAAATATCACACGATAAGTATTATCTTCAGATATCATATTGCGGAAAGTACTATTTAAGATTTGAATTATTCTAAATACAACAATGTTAAATGACAATAGTAATTATTACTCCCTGAGAAAGAAAGAAAAATGTTGTTATTGTTGTGCGAAAAGTGATTAGATTTTGTCATTTTCTGTGTGTAATAAATCAATCGGTCGTCTAGCCACACTGAGGGACTGTGATTCAGCGAAACAGTCTGTCTGTTGATGACTACATATATATATATATATATATATATATATATATATATATATATATATATATAAAAAAAGGCTTAAACACTAATATTCCATGGTCATAATTTATTCCATTGAATCGTAAATACGATCCAATTCATCAGAACTACAAATTCAAAAAAGAAAACAGAAAAAACCAACTCCCGAAATAAAAAACAGAATTTAGAGAAAGTGTAAGTATGAGGAGGAGGGAGATTAAACCTTAACAGAGAGAATTTTATATATATATATATATCTGTTCACTCGTATTCGAGGATACCCATTACTGGGGCGGTTAGCAATCCCTATTGCTAACGCTTGCTCAGGCGCATTTGTGTTTATTCAACAGCCCACCTGTGGTTTATACTGCAACTATGTTGCAGTTTCTGGGAAAGATCGTGTTATCTAGCGTGAACAACAATTTGAAAAAGACCAGCACGCCCAATCCCTCGGCCACGATGACTTGTGTTTCGTGTTAGCACAGCTATCGACGGCACCAAGGGTTAATATTATGAATGAGTTTTAGATTTATATCCAAAAGTGTTGAATAACTCATCATACTTTATTTTCCAAAGAATCAAAATACAATAACAAAGTTGTCTGATATAAACAGACGTAGAAAATTAGTAAATCTCATACAATCTCCCAGAGATCGTATCAAGTGAACTGATTTGTTGTTTTTTTTTTACAACTTATCAACATTTTTCAGGTTATTTATAGCCAGAGATTGTAAAAAATATGTATTTGGAGATAATAATGTCCTTAAGGACACATGGCACAGTGGATAAAGGCGTTGGTTAGATCCAGTCACAAGACCCAAAGAGGTGTGTTCAATGCCTGGTTAAGGCAATGGAGAACTTGGAGAGGTGAATTAACAGGAGATAATTGATAACTGACGTCCATTAGACATGACACGTGAAACTAGAACAGTCTACCCCGATGAGCGAAATAAAGGGTTCAGTTCGACATTCTAAACACCTGAAGAAGGCCGGAGCGTTCAACTTGTGATAAATATGGCAACAAAGATGAGGAAAATAGTTCGAATAGTGTAAATACTGTTTTAGTGATACAAGTTTTACTAATTAACCCGTAGATGGGAGAGAAGTGGATTCATGCCTTGGGCGTAAGTGAATATAACGAACTCAACAAAAATTGAAATTCGGTTCTCTGATTAAAAGATCACCATGCGCCCATTCACGCTTACAGCGCCTGGTTTTCCCAAGCGGTCACCCATTTAGTTACTGACCACTCTCGACTCTGCTTAACCTTGGTGACCGTACGTAGGCTGGTGTTTCAACAGGATTTGGCCGTAAACCATACCACCTGCACATCCAAGCTTACAGCATTCCTAAGCGGTCACTCATCTAAGTACTGATCAGGCTCGAAGCTGTTTAACTAAGGTGATCGTACAGTAAGCAGTGTTTCATTGTTATATGGTCGTTATTTGAAATGAACTGATATACTCTCCGATTAGAAGAAAAATTCAGAATACTATTCGATTAAACTTATACAAAATCAATAGCATTTTAAAATCAGGTTCATGAATAATGGTGAGAATACATGCAACAAGACTTACCTGCAATTTTGAGTCTATTTCCTGAGACAAGATGTCTAATACTATATTAAGGATACCTTGAAAAGAGGGATGACAAGAATACGTTAGCTTATCATTAATAAATCGAGACATTCAAAGAAAATATATTGCTTTAGGTAGAATAAAAATTAGATTCCAATAATCATTTACAATGTTTTCTTTTTTTACTTTATACTCTTTGATATAATGCGAGCATTTTACACTGCCATTTTTTTGCCGTATCAAGTGAACTGATTTGTTTTTTTTTTACAAATTATCAACATTTTTCAGGTTATTTATAGCCAGAAAATATTTTGAGATTGTAAAAAATATGTATTTGGAGATAATAATGTTCTTAAGGACACATGGCACAGTGGATAAAGGCGTTGGTTAGATCCAGTGACATGACCCAAAGAGTTGTGAGTTCAATACCTGGTTATGGCAGTGGAGAACTTGGAGAGGTGAATTAACAGGAGATAATTGATAACTGACGTCCATTAGACATGACACGTGAAACTAGAACAGTCTACCCGGTGAGCGAAATAAAGGGTTCAATTCGACATTCCAAACACCTGAAGAAGGCCGGAGCGTTTAACTTGTGATAAATATGGCAACAAAGATGAGGAAAATAGTTCGAATAGTATAAATAATGTTTTAGTGATACAAGTTTTACTAATTATACCATTTTCAACATCCTTCACACATAATAATAACGTTTTCAGCACAGTCCGCTATGTCTTCAACATACTGATAAGTTCTTTGCAGTTTTGTAGTGAGATGTAAATAACTGACTAATTAACTTAGCTAAGGCATGTATATAGATATATATATATATAATATATATATATAAGTGATCAGGCAGTAAGCCATTGGGTAGAATAGGATACACGACACTAACATCTATCTCTGAACGGAGAAAAATATGAAGAAAATCTCATTTCATGACAAATTTAACAATTATTATCAATCATTATCTATTCTCCTAATAATCTTCCCTTCTTACAAGCTTCCCTTTCGCCCATAACATACCACATTACTCATAAAAATTTTAACACCAACGCTCTACCTTGTGCGGGTTTTGAGCCTTGTGCAGAGTAAACATTAGTATAAAAAGCAAATAGATTCCAATATTCTCCGTGCATGTAAGCATATCTTCCAGAATCTTCATCTATTAAACATCTTCCAGATGTTTCCCATATTTTAAATCACTTTCCACTATTTTATGGCGTTCACAAAAATTTTGCAGCAAACTCCAACCATCTGCAACATCCTCCAAATGTACTGATATTTCTTTGTATATTTTGAAATTTTGCCCCTCTACACGTTAACACTTTTAACCGGAATGTCCATTTCTAACAATTTTAATACCTATTCACTATTTACTGTATTCTGAGATTCCCAAATTAAGTGGCTTCACTTACCCATTTTATTAAGATCATTTTACATTTCTGTTGCATTCAACCAAAATATAATTTTGCTTACACATTTCAAAATATCGTTTATAAAATTTCGTCTATTTATTTTAAAATTTCTGTTACGAGTTTCAAACACGTATTAAATGTTTCTCTCAGATATATCTGTACAAATGTTGTCTTGTGGGTATTTTTCAAATGGGCAGTCATTATTTCACCTCCTCTAAAACCTTCCATGTAATTTGCCACATCTATTTTTCCAAAATTGTAGTTTATTTTCCCTAATTATAGGGTTTTATCTAAATCAGGTTTCTTACCATGACTAATCATTATATTCTGGTTCATGTGGTGTGGTTCTTCGGGTGTCTTGGGTAAATGGCAAAACCTGAAATTATAGAATTTAATATGAAAAATCAACAAATCATACAAGTTATGGCAATAATATTTCTTTAATCATTTCACGCTAATCAAGGCGATAAAGACATTAAGACGCAAGGCGTTAATAAGAGTGAAAAGAAACTTATAAAAACCTTAGTGAGTAAAAAAGAAAAAAAGAGCATGACATAAAAAGAGATGCTGACAAATAACGTTAGTGGAGAAAATAGTTTGATAGTTCAAGAATCAATCAGTGACAGAGATACGAGTTAAATCGGAAATTATACACACTTTCCTCATAAAATATATTTAGGTTTGTCATACTATCTCCTGATGATGCATGCTTATCGTTGATACGATTGTATTTACGTGATCGAAGTTCAGCTTGATCGAACCAGTTTTCGTCCTAGTGTTACAGTGTAAACATACCCGCCCCGCGAGCAATGTACACCAAGGATCAACAACGAGCAGTGACCTAATTTTTTTTTCTGATTGGAAGGTGTTACCAGGGGCAGAAATTCATCGATGACTTTTAACTCATTACGGTAACAATGCTCTACCGCGTAGAAAGTATGAGTTGATCGAGAAGTTTAAAAATAACCGGACAAGTGTGATGAACGAAGGAGGAGGATCACAGTCAAACTTCACCACTAATGAGAAGATTCAGCAAACTCATAGCGATCCGGCGGGGTATCATCGATGAGGTTGAAGGGTTTCTGCAGATTCGGATCACTGCTCTTTGTTC